CAACAAATTTTGTTAACTTTGTTAATCGTAGATAGATAGAATGATGAAATTATAATTTGACTTGTAAGGGAATAATTGTCTATTACAATTGAAAATGAAATAACTAAAAGGAGATTTTCATAAAAATTCAAGGCTACTAAGTGTAATTTATCCATACTATTTTAACTAAATGTTTGATTGGAAGGATTAGAGTATGGGATTGGGATTATTAATCCGCGGGCCCAATTATCCTCTGTTTGTTTTGACATTTTGTTTTAGGATTATCAATCCAATGGATAATTAATCCAACAAATTTGTAGGATTATTAGTAATGGGGTAGGGGTGGGATTGTGAATACCACACTAATTTGATTGGATTATTAATACTTCACTATTAATCTTGTGGAATCAAACATGACCTTAGAATCGTGGGGTTGAGTTCGCTAGTGCAATATTTTCATAAGGCTGTGGGTATTCAATTCATGGTAATTTGATTTGCAATTTTTTCTTTTTTCTTTCTTCTTTATTTTTTATTTTTATTGTATTTTATTTGTTTATTTATTTATTTTTGTGAGAGGAAAAACTTAACCTTGTTCAAGTACTGAATGGATATTAAATGTCCAAATCAATTGTATGTTTCTATTTGTGCTTGATTTGCTTAGTGGCCTAGTGGGAACCATGCTGATACGATGAGTGTGCTACTAGTAAAATGTTTGATTGAGAAAGAGTAAAATATCTGACTTATAACTTCATTCATATTGAATTACTGCTATATTCTCACTGTCTACCACAACTCATTTCAATTGTTTTGTGTGCTTGCACTCCTCTAATCTTGTCATCTCTTCAACTTCTACTTTCACCTTGAAAGCTGGGATTGGATGTTTATTTCATCTTGTCTAGAATATCCATTCTTTGTTCATCTCGAAGCACATCTCTTCAAGTTACCTGATTTTACTTTCATGGGCAGCATCGCTTTGATCTCTTCATCCATATTCACATATACCAAACAAGATTGATTTGAATGAAAAATGCAACTGCTGCTGCAATGGCCAAGGAACCAAATGTCTTAATTTTGACTCTTCTAGGGCTTACCTAGTGTAGACTGCTTTTGGGTGATTGTGTGCATCCTTAGTATTGACTCAAAATAAGGGTTGGTGGCACCTTGGCATGACATTAATAAATCATGATGTATGGATGCTTGCCAGATATGGAAATTCATTTTAATATTAAGCAATCACTTTTTTCCGACCTTATTTAAGCACTAAGGTTCCTATGAAAGGCTCTTGATGTTAAGAAAGTGTAAATACATGTCATGTGTTAGATAGCTTGATACACATTATTGGGCCAATTTTTGGATTATTTAGTGATCTAATATGGTTTAAAGCTATGGTTCTCAAAGGAATTGGGTCAAGTCTTGTAATTACTTGTTCGTCCGTAATATTTTTTTATTGTACAATCTTTTCAACTCAATTTGTATGCTCGTTTTTTTTATCTTGATATACATTGTTGGGGCTATTTTGTAATCCAACACCGTGCATGTGTTTTTGTCCATGATATCATTTTCATTCTTGCGTTAACAAAGTTACAAGTGGGAACCCCATCAAAAGTCAATGTATGCGCTTGCTGAACTGCAAACTACGTATGTCTCTTTGGGTGTTGTGCTATTTTTGTGCTTCAGTATTTCATTCTTCTATTCTTGATTTTTGTATTGGCATGCATATAAAGTTGCTTAATGTTGTGTTTGGTTGAAGGATTTAAGAAGAGATTTGTAAAGGAAAAGGGAAAAGGGAAAAGGTAGGTGAAATATAAATAAGATATACTTATATTTCACTTAGTTTCACACACCTTTTCCATTTTTATTTCCAAGTACCTCTTCAAATCCGCCAACCAAACACAACTAAAATGCGCCTCTAGCCCTATACTACTTGACTGCATCTGATTTCTTCAATTCTCTGGTAGATAATCTGTTTTCTCAATTGTTTATTAGGGTGCACAGCTTTGCACACACTATGCTCAAAATGGAGTTGGCAAATTTGGGCCCTCATGCAAATTTGATCATCCGATGGGAACACTGAGTTACAGTTCATCTGCATCTTCTCTTGCTGATATGCCAGTTGCTCCTTACCCTGTTGGATCTTCCATGGGTACTCTGGCTCCATCATCTTCTTCAGAGTTGAGGCATGAACTTATTTTGGGGTCCAACAAGGATGCGCTTTCAACCAGGATGTCTTCTTCGACAAGCACATCTAGTGGTTCGGTTGGTTTGATTGTATCGAAGAGTGGGCTCGCTTCTCATCCTAGTGTTCAACAATCTGATCAGGCTTTTGCCCCTTCAATCACTAGCTGTAGTGCGAATCAAGGAGGTGAGGTTCACACATCAATCTAAACAATATATTATGGCAAAACCCTACTTGTTCCTCTCCAAAATTCATGAACCGCCCATTATTTTTTTGGGCAATACCTCTAAATACGAGGCTTGTTTTCAGTCATCATGGTTCCATGATTCAGATCAAGCACTGTTGCTCTAATCATGTCTGTTTTCATATAATCTTTATTTGCCCTCCTCTTCTTTCATCCTGAATAAGCGATGCCCAACTTCAAAATCGGGCAAACCATATACTGTTCCCAATTTTCTTCCAAATAACCAAGAAGAAAAGGCCCACTTCCATTAGACAATGTTGCATCATCTCTTCAATTTTGGAGTTTGTTGTGTTAATTTATGCTCTGAAAAAGATTAGTACTACACCTCTCTTCCTTCCATATTGTCTTTTGTACCTCTCGAAATCTGGGACCAAGCTTCCAATTCAACTTAGGAATGAAATTTGTTGGACAAATTAAAAAATACTACTAGTTCAAGCACACGGTCACTTGCTTTTCTGGACCCATATGATAATTTCTGTTAGATCATATTCATCTGGGTGGGGTGTGACCCACATCACACCAAATTTTTGCATGGGATTGAGACAGTGGGGAAAATTTAGGGAAAGGGGATTCTTTCCTCCAAAATTCTGGGCACTTTTGTATTTTTGTGAGTACATAATAAAGACATAAACAGAGACCATGCTGTGAGATACTAAATTTCTGTGGAAAAAATGGTAAAAATGAGGTTTAATAGCTCAAGAAAGGAACAAAATAACTAGGGGTGTACATAATACACACCTTCAAGGGTGTGTATATTAAAATTAAAAAAAAACAAAAAAAAATCAATTCAACAAACAAGAAGTCATTCGCTATCATGATTCAGGGGTGCTCATTGATTGGAGTGAGTTTATTTTAGAGGGGTGCTACATGCATTAATTAGTATACTAATTAGTGTACCAACACTAGTTATGACATTATTATTGACTCCACTCGTTATACAAATTACGAATATCAAAAATATTTTAAATTATGTCACATCATCAATTGATACATTAGTTAGTGCACTAATTGATTGATGCATATAGCATTAGTCTTTATTTTAAGGCTATGCAAAAATATCTTTCAATTCACTAAAATCGTATTGATGGGTACCAATTCGCATCTATTTAATCGTTAATTACAAATTAAATTTTGAAATTTATAATACACTTTCAAAATTGTTCAGTCATGCTATAATTAATACATATATTTTTTTAACCTCTAATGAAGTATCAAAGTAAAAACGAGTGTAACAGGGATTTAAAATGTAAAATTTACAAATTAGTAAATATTATGTAAAACTAGCTTGTGTTATATATATAAAATTAGTGTTATATGTTATACAAATACTTGATAATTATTTAAGAATATTTTTCAATCACCTAGTAAATTGAAACCGTCCCAAATTGCAATTTATTTATTTGCTAATCCGCCATTCACGGGTTGATTTATAATTTCACTTTTAAAACGTTCAAATTATACTGTGCACACCCTTAGTTTATTTATCATTTTAAATTAGTTTAAAAAAATCCTTGGTCAGTTTGCAAAAGAAAGGGGTCCAAGAAATACAAGTAGGGCCTATGGGCCAACCATAGTTGGAGAAGCAGGGCACCAAGAGCCCAACTGGGAGCCCAGACAAAATGGGGCTCTCATACAAGACAGAAACTTGATGTGAAATTTGCATGGAAAATGTTTATGAAAAATATTTAGGGTCGGTTTGGTAAGGCATTATTTGGTATCCACTTTGTTTTTAATTTTCAGTTTATATTTATAAAAATTTAAAAAATTGTCATAAAAACTTTTATGATAATTTTTTTGGTTTATAAATGGTTGTCTCAGTTTATAAATTTGAGGAAAAAGCGTAAACTCAAAAAATGAGTTTACGTTTTCAGTATTCAATTTTTTTTTAAATAATTTATTGTCAATTATTTTTTTTAAATAATTTTTTTTCAATAATTTTTTTTAATTAATCTTTTTTTTCAATTAATTTTTTTTCAAATATTCTTTTTCCCAATTAAATTTTTTTCAATCATTTTTTTTATTAATTTTTTTTCAAATAATTTTTTTTCAATTATTTTTTTTAAATAATTTTTCTCAATTATTTTTTTTTTCAATTAATTTTTTTTCAAATATTTTTTTTTCCAATTTTTTTTTTCAATTAAATTGTTTTTCAAATAATTTTTTGTCAATTAATATTTTTTTTCAATTAATATTTTTTTCCCAATTAAATTTTTTTTCAATTATCTTTTTAATTAATTTTTTCTCATTTTTTTCAAATAATTTTTTTTCAATTATTTTGTTTCAATTAATTTTTTTTCCAATTAATTTTTTTTTCAAATAATCTTTTTTTTTAATTAATTTTTTTTCAAATAATTTTTTCCCCAATTAAATTTTTTTCAATTATTTTTTTAATTAATTTTTTTCAATTAATTTTTTTCCAATTAAAATGTGCATGATCTCATTGTCATAAATAATAAAAAAATAAATATAAATATTTTAGACTTGGATAAAAATATTTTTTAGTGTATAATTTTAATTTTTTTAAATATTTTGTTCAAACGCATTTATAATTTATATTTTTTAAATTAATTAATTAATTAATTAATTATTATTATTCTCCACCCCTATTCTCTCTCCTAGGGTTTCCTTCTCTCTCTCTCTCTCTCTACCCCTCTGTCTCTATATATATATATTCTCTTAAAATTTGGATGAAGAGGGGCTAAAAAAACTTGGCCTTATTGGGGAGAATTGGGTGAGGAGGAGGAGGAGAAGATCAGGGTTTTTGGGTTTTTTAATCGAGAGATGTGGGATGGTGGAGGCGTTGATGAATCAGCTCACGCTTTGTTGGAAGCCATTTGAGGGTAATTCCCGCGGCGCTGATGGTTTCGTCAGAGACGGGTTGCTCCGTTATCGGGACATTGGGAGGTGCTCGAGCGGGGAGTTGTCGATGGCGGTGCTACAGGCGAACCAGGTGCTCGAGGACCAGAGCCAAATCGAGTCCGGACCCTTCGGGACGTTCGTCGGCGTCTACGACGGTCACGGAGGCCCCGAGGCGGCTCGATATGTTTGGGATCACTTGTTCCGCCACTTCCAAGGTTCGTCTTCTGGTTCGATTCTTGTAATTTTTTGATTGAATTTGTATATGTAACTTGTTAAAATTGTGATCTTTGTAGATTTACTCAGCTAAATTGGCAACTGTTTTAATGCTAAAACACTATGGTTTTGTACTTTCTTTGCTAAATTGGTAACTGTTAACGCAGCAGTAAATCATTGGCCAGATGGGATTTTTTATGGCTTTTGGAGTGTCTGGTTTGATTGAACTTTAAATGAAGTTAAACAACAATGGTTTGTGATATACATTGAAAGTATATATAGGGTTTAATAATACATGAAAGTTAACCAGTGTGTTCTGTATTTGATACACATGGTCACATACACGCACGTACACCCGCAGTAATCTAATTTTATTGCAGATTGTTTGTTTTGGCACCATAGAGTGAAGAGTTGAAGATTGTGTTGATATAATTTGGGTTCAACATCAAAAAAGTAATTGCTTCTTATTTTTTGTGATCTTAGACTCTGTCTCTATACAGCTATAGCAGTGGAAGATGACGGTGTTGTAACAGCTGACACACTTAGAAGAGCTTTTCTCGAAACAGAACAAGGGTTCACAGCTCATGTTTCAAGGTTATGGAATGCTCGACCCAACGTAGCATCAGTTGGTTCATGCTGTCTTGTTGGAGTAATATATCAGCAGACTCTTTTTGTGGCAAATCTTGGAGATTCCCGTGTTGTATTGGGGAAGAAAGTTGGGAACACAGGAGTAATTGCTGCCATACAATTATCAACAGAACACAATGCCAACATTGAGGCTGTCAGGCACGAGCTGAAAGAATTACACCCCAATGATCCTCAAATTGTTGTCCTCAAGCATGGAGTTTGGAGAGTAAAAGGCATTATTCAGGTTCTTCTAATTTCTTTCACCATAAAAGTTTGTTGATTGAACCATGATTTTTATTTATGTGATGCTGAAATTCTTTCAAGTCTATTCTCTGCTGTCCAAAATACAGTTGTTCTCAGTTTCTACTTGGATTCTCATATTGTGTGATTCTCTAGATTTTAATTTGAAAGTCTTGAGGACCAGTGTATGTATCAAGGTTTTTTGACTTTGGATCTCAGTGTTGTTTGAGAACATGCTTGATCTAGGGGTGTAAATCCGGCCTCGCCCGGTCCACCGGGGCTCGGGCAGGGCCCAAGTTGGGTCTCGCGGGCTCCCGCCAAAATCCGGGCTGGGCCACTGGCCAAAAAAAAAAAAAGTTAAGCCCAGGCCCAAGGGTATTCCGGCCTTGGGCGGGCCTAACCATTTTTTTGTTTTTTTAATTTTTTTTCTATCAAAATTTTATTATTTTTTATTAAAAAATACATTGGGCCTTGGGCGGGCTGGGCAAGTTGGGCTTCGGGTTAGGCCCTAAGTGGGCCTTAAGCAGGCCAATGGGCTGGGCCACGGGCCGGGCTTCAAAACAATGGCCCAGGCCCTAGCCCAGGGGCTCGAGCCGAGCTCAGGCCTGGGCCCAAGCGGGCCTAAACGGACTGGGCCCATCTCGGGCTGTGGGCGGATTTCGGACCGCCCACGGACCACGGGCCATTTTTACACCCCTAGCTTGATCTAATAATGATGAATTTAAGATGACGTCATATCTAACCTCAAAAGTAGCTTTAAATAATTAGGCTTGTGTAATTGTCAATGGGTTTGTATGTATAATGTGTGCTTTAGAATTGTCATAAAAAAAAATTATCAAAAAAAAAAGGAAAAAGAATCATCATAAAAAAAGGTGCTTTTGATTCAACCTTACACGCTGCCATAGTAATCTGAAAGATATGAGCAACAAACTTGGCATGGAAAAATTAAATGTCTTGTCTGAGATGCTCCCTGGTTTGTGGTCCAAATTCAAAAGAAATTACTTTTTCATCAACAAACTGACGTAATGAGGAAGACCTAAGCCAATAAGGAATGACTGCAGTGCCCTGTGTGCAGCCTGTCGAGCTCGGAAGCATTTTAAACAAGTAATAATGGACAGAATAATCTGCTATTGTGCAACATAATTTTCTCTCCGTGTCACTAAAGATGGTGTTTTCATATGGAAATGAAGACATACGGTTTTGCAGCCAACCATTTAGGTGAGAGCTCCCAAGTAGGTATTGTATGTGTAGTTATGATGAAATTACCATGGCTCCAATCCATCTATTACCTTGTTGTAAAAGAGTAGTGGAAGTTGGTCCTTTTCAAGGTTACTAGTAAAAAATTGAACTTGGTGGTTGCATTCTTTGATGGATGGAAATTACGCAGATGTTGAATGTTGCCACGAGCACATTGCCAAATGGCTTGATATGGTGTAACTAAGGGATTGTAGTAGAAAAACTATACAATGCCAACCAATGTATGTTTAGATTGGAGATTTTTTTTTTTTTTTTCATTATTCCAGTGGGCTAGAAGTTTGGACATGTTTAGAGTTTTTTTTTTTTTTTTTCCCCTCTCATCTTGGTCAATGTAAAGCCCTTAACCTATATGAATTTCATGTATGTCATGTTTTTGACTTCTTTCTTATTATCAACTTTTAACTTACAAAAACATGCACCAAACATATCCGATATGTTTGATATTTCTTACTAGTCTATCATTTTTACGTCGTTATTCCTTTGTCGATGATTATCTTTGTCTATGGCTATATTAGAATGAAAAATTCTTTAGTGTGCTACACAAATTGTATGTAACATTTTTACAAATTTACGCGAATTTATGTTTAATATACGTATTTTTGTAAAATCATTTGCATAAATTCATAAAAACTTACAAGATTGCATATTAGAACATTTCCCGTCTAGAACAGTAGGGTTTAGCTATACAATTCCTTATTAAGCATCGCAATATCTTTTGACAAAATAGAAGATTATGCTTCACTTTTTTAAATTTGGAGAAATAAGCCTATTTATGAACCACCTAAAGATCTAAGTAATCTAATAACTAGCTTTTGCATCAAGAGCAAATTTGTGATTTAAGGCATATTTTTTTGTTTACTTACTCTAGAATTTGAGAGAGAGAGAGAGAGAGGAAATTTAATGCATCATCAAATCTAAGGTATACATGATGGCCAAAAAATATTATTGATGCGTTTAGTGGTTTGTTTGCTATCAATTTCTAAAATTGTTTTCTCACAGAAATAGAATATAGAAACTTAAAATAACACTAACATGACAGATAAATTAATAAGAGTCACTTAAGGATCGTACTTTCAAGTTCTACAGTGAAATTAGTGAAATTTAACTTCAAAAGCATCACAACACTTCTAACATTAATAAAATCTCCAATTATTTTCCCTAGTTAAAGGAAAATATACCATCTGCCTTGCTCTCTATTTTCTTTACCTTATAACTCCTCTGTATTTACAGGCAACACTCTGTAAGTTCCTTTTGTTTTTATCTTGCCAAGAAAGGCAATTCAACCATTTCCGAGATATGGGAAAAGATCAAAAGATAACTATTAAAGAGGAAAAAGATGTAGGCTGTGTTTGGTAAAGCTTTGGAACATCAACATTCCAGAGCTTAATTTGAGCACGGCTTTTGTTTACGAATTTCAAAACTTAATTCCACGCTCACTTTTGAAAATGTGGTTGAAAGCGGAAAAATTTGGACTAACCGGTCGTCTGGCCGGTTTATCGGAACAGTGCAAATTTTTTTATTTTTTATTTTTTTATTTTTTTTTTGCAATTGACATATGCTAATTTTTATATATTCGAAAAAAATATTTTCTGAATTTTTAAAATTTTTTTGTGTTTTAATATAATTTTGAGTTGTATGTTTGGTTATGAGTTGTAAGTTTTTGTATCAAATATCATATGTTACATCAAAATTTCTCACTCAATTCAAAACTCTTTCACCAAACAAATTTTTCACATTCAAAGCATAATTTTAAAACTCACAAATTCAAAAAACAATTCCTACTCTCAAATCATAGTTAGAAAACTCTACTAAACGCAACGCAACCGTAATTTTTCGAAAGTACAATGATAATAACATATCACCAAATTGAGCAAGAACACTTCAAATATTTGAAAATAGGTCCACAATTGTAAGCTTCCAAGTCGGGCCATCAACTTGAAAGTCATTAAAAAAACGAAGAGAGGCTAGTCTTGCAAACCCGAAACATATTAAGGCGTAGAAATGTGAGCAGCATCCTTAATAGATTTGCGCCACGCATACTCCCTAGCTCCATCCTGGTCAACAATTTTGATGATGAAATTTGGCGGGGTCACAACCAGCCTAGACCGAATCTCCATTATGCACTTGACTAGATCAACAGCTTCTTCCAATGTCATGTTGCTGTGGTAGTCTGTCCATCATAGAAAGTGAAAAATAGGACCCATAACCAAATGCTGTCTTGTCAACCTTGTGACGGGATGCAATATAATCGATGTAGTATAGGGAAGGGCCTATCTCCTTGTCGTAGCCAGCCAAGGCGAATAACATAGATAATAGAGTTTGACAAAATTTTGGAAAACATTGTCCCATGAGCATCACATGAGCGTTATCAACTAGATGATTTACAATATAGATAGATAGGTGCATAAAAGGTGTAATCCTTCCTCCCTTTTGCTTCCTTCATTCGCCAATGCATCAGCGTTGGCGTTTGCTTCCCTATATATGTGCTTGACTTCCTCCACGCCAAGCTGGTCCAACAAGTACCTACAGCCGCAAATTAAGTTGCTGAGATGATGGAAATCATTAACTTATTTTGCAAGGAGTTGGCAAACTAGCAAAGCATTTGTTTCGACATCTAAATTGTGGATGTTTCGGTCAAGAGCTAGTTGTAACCCATCGCCGAGGGCCCAAAGTTCCGCAACTATGCTGGTTGTGAACCCAACCTTTCAGCAGAACCCTACAACCCAATTATCTTTATTAGTGGTAGGGCTTGATTTTCTAATGTGAACAAGATTTCACAATTATGTCGTGTTTCTTGCAATCCTCTTTCAATCATGTCTCACACAAAATGAGTTGATTTTCTAATGTGAACAAGATCTCACAATTACGTCATGTTTCTTGCAATCCTCTTTCAATCTTGTCTCACACAAAAATGAGTTTTGAATCAATACAAAATATGAGTTGTGAATTTATAAAGGATAGTGTCACCTTGAGTTAATAATGCACTAATATTAATAACTTCTAATAAGCTTTTTTTTCTTAAATCAATATGAAATGTGATTGCATAGAGAGTATCAACATCAAAGAGTTGGATATACCACAAGTGAAATGTGAATGATTAATGATTAAAAAATATTAGGGGTGAGTAACGGATTCGCCCAAATTGAACCAAATTGAACCGAACTGATTCGCCACATTTTGGATGGATGCATGATGACGAGGACGGTTGCGAATTAATTTTTTTCCAATTCGCCTAGTTTTGGACGGATGGTGGATTTAAGGTTCTTTGGCGGCAACCGCACCGCCAAACTGCGAGCACCCTTAGTAATTTGTAAAAGTTTTTGTTTTCAATTTGTTTAGATATTCTGTTTATGTTTTCAATTGAAAAAGAGTTTTCAACTTGAATATATTTTTTGAATTGAAAAAAATAAATGTATTCTTTATCTATATTTTTTGGTTTTTAAATCTAACTCTAAAAATAATAAATAAAAAAGATGATATATACTGGTTGGTTTTTGTTTTTAAAAACAGATATAGATATAACAACACAGAGGCATACAATCTTTACTACTGTTCTGTTCATGGTTTTGGTGGTTTGAATTGTTTTTATATTTTAAGAACCAAAGATTGTAATATTTTATGTGGATGAGGCATGCTGTGACTGTAATATGTAGATGAGGCATGCAATGATTGTAATACTTTTTTAAGTCATTGATTGTAATACTTTTTTTTTTTTTTTTTTTTTTGAGGAAGTGCATAAGTTGAATT